CGTTACAGCTCCTTCCTTTACTTAACGTTAGTTATAAACTGCGTCACTAGCTAGCTACCATGCTGCTAGCTAAAATGCTAATCACTTGGACAAATTACATAAACGTCTAAACTTAGCATCGATATGCTTTGAAAGATGTTATCCGTGTAGGTTAAATACAAGCTACACATTATTGTTGAGTACACGAGTACTCGAATACGGCTTCTGTAAGTAAGATATATATTTTTTACTTAACATTCCACAGTCCGCATGCGAGACGATAATGGCGCTGACTTTTCACCCGAAGGCCTGGGGGCAGTGGGTGGATCATCACTAAATCTCTTAGGAGTTGAACTAACTCCACTGTAATCAACACTGTCAAATAACCCCAACACTGAACAACACTTTACTCCCAAAGTGTAAAAATTACAATTTAGGAGTTAAGATTAACTCTGAAAACTTTAACACCGAAATTTTAACTCTCCAATTTTTGCTGTGTATGTCTGCATTATTCCAGTTAAAATATGGGGTTTCTCAGTTACCTGCTTTGTTTAGAGTGTTACACATCTCTTTTCATCAATACATATACCACTGTTTACCCATCTATGGAGGAGAAATTTTGATTAATTAATGCCATTGCTGTTCGTTGTGCTGTTCACTTTTGACACAACACCAGCAGCAGGAGTTGTGCATTCTCTCACCTCACCTTTTAGGAAGAAGCTCTCTGGTTTTATTGTTCTGAAATCATTACACAGTATTTGGAGTTATGATGTGTGCAAAGCTAATCTAGAGGTACCCACGATCAAACATTAAATGGCTGGAAACGAACAAAATGAGCATGACATGGACTCTTATATGAGGTCTGTACAATGGTTTTCTAGCACCTGATGAATAAAAACAGAATCGAAGGAAGGAGGAATTTCTTTTTACCATGACTATAACACACACTTGATTGTGGTACAATACAATAAATGTATACAATCTAACTGAACTGCCTGGTCAGCAGACTTCTTTGCTGTTCTGTTAAATCTGTGTCACTGTTACTCAGTATTTGAATTTTCACAATTAAAGACAATTAAGTTTTGACAAAATCTCATTCTGATCTCAATTTGAAACTTTATCATTATCTCAAAACACTGATGTGCTGAATTAAATATGCTAAAGTTATATTCAACAACTCAAAATATTCCAGGGTCAGGGTAATAAACCTGTGTCATGCTCCTTCACAAGCACAGCTTGAACATACAGTATATGAACTGACCTTTTCATCCCAGAGGTGCCCCCCTTCCTCCGCTCCACTGGACTTGTGAAGGTGAGCCAGTCCCCAATGGCACTACAGTACAGATTGCAATGTTTCCTCTCAAATGGAGGATACTCTCTTGTGAATACTGTTTGTCATCTTCCTCGTCCTCCACCTTTTGTTGGGTTATTTTTGTCTTTTACCACACACTTATCTGTGGATGTCTGTATTATTTAATCTCCATCTTTCTCTCAGGTCAGCCGTCCTTGACCATGACTAGGGGATGCACAGGCTGCGCCATGTGTCACTAAAGTGCAGGGCAGACAAAAAGAAAACACTCCCTAAGGTCTGAAGCCAGTTTGATGACAGATGTCACCCAATCACTTGTCCTTTAAAGCTCTTTTATGAGCAGGACATGTGATGGAACAATGACAGTGGTATGAGGAATGCTTCAGTGTAGCTATGAAACGACTCTACCTTGAAAGGATGCATCTTATATTGTTTGATAGATAGTGTCCATCCGGAGTTGTGTAATGGATGTATTTCTGTCAGTGCACTGCTGCTGTGTGTGCCTGACATCTTCTCCAATCTGTAGAGAGCTCAAGTCTCTTCATCCCACTTCAAGGTTAGCTTCTTCACCTGCTGTTTTTGTTGCTGTGTGGAATCGACAACTTCTTTTATCATTCTTTCTGAAAAGATGATGCATGATTTTGAGGTCTTTTCATTTCCTAAGCTAAATTGTGTTTAGCTCATTTCATTTAAACAATGATAAAAGATGCATTTTCCCAGCTACAGCTTTCGTGATGCCTCCACAGGCTTCTGACTGATGAGATATATTATGGGTGATAATAAAATTGTGGTGTTTTATCTGTGACAAATGAAAAATGAAGAGATGTTTATATTTTTACTAGCCACAACAGTAATAGACTCTCATTTAGCTCTGAGTAGGAACAGGAAATGCCAAGCTCCAGTGTCCAAATGGGCACTATCTGCACATTTGCTCGTGTGCACATGAATGCCTTGGTGAGCACAGAGTGTTATCTGGTGATGCTGTTGCTGCAGGTGAACTCATTGCCTCTCCCATTGTGTTTGTGCAGGTTTTTGGAGATTATTATCACTTCAGTCATCATGCTGTGGAGAAAAGGGCTTTGTCTGGCCACAAGGGGATGCGCACCAGACTACAAAAAGAACCACAGGTAAGACTACTGTCAGTTCTCACACAAGTCATCGCAGCAACAAAAGGCCAAGAGACAGATTGGATTACACACAAAGACTGTGTGTATCGCAAGAGAAAGGGATGCCAGGTTCAATGACAGCTTGTCAAAATCGGTATCCTTTGCAGTCCATGCCAGTCCTTCCATCTGTCCCGCACCCATTTTGAGATGCTGCATAGCTGTAAATATGCAAAAAACAAACTAAAAAAAAACCCTCCCAAACAGTACAGCAGCTGGGAGTGTCTCTGTGTTTGGCCTTGCTTTCTCTCCAGCCTTGTAAAACCATTGTCAACTAGAGAAGGAAATTGGTATTCATCAACCTAACACCCAAAACATAAAGAATTTCCAGCCCTGAATGTCATCTTTATTTGGACATCTGGCAACAAATTTGCCACCATACTCTTAACTGTAAAATCTTAGTTTCAGTGTACACCAGATATAGTTGCGTCAGCATGGGAATTCCAACATAGTGGAAGCAAATTTTTTTCAAACTATGGAATCAGGGTCTGGTAGTCTCCGCCATTATTCTGTTGTAGGTTTTAGAAAAGTTCTTTATTTAATTTCTTAAACTAAAGAGAATTAAACTCTTATTACTTATTTTGAGAAAACTGGATTTTTCTGAAAGCACTCCTAGAGAGTGACTCTGAAATTGACAGCAGAAGCCAAATGAGAATGTAGAGGATGGCAGGCAGCACTTATTCTGTCCTGTTGTAAATCTGCCATCATGAATATCAAGAACCTTTTTCTGTATTTAGAAAGGTTCTTGGATTTTTCCAAATAATTAGGTTTATGTACTGACTAGGAACAAAATTGTCAAATAAAGTTGGTTAACATTCATTCATTATACTGATGATCAAATTCACATTATACACATTACTCTTGAATCTTTATTGCAGATAAATGATCCGACAGCCTCCAGATCAAAGCGCATCGACCTACAGCAAAATAGTCCTTGAGGAAACACTAGGTATGATCTTTAAAAAAAATTCATTGTGCATAAAAATGGTAATTAGGGGAGAAATTTATAGATTATTACATCATTGTCTTATGAAGGCAATAGACAATCTGTAATTCAACAGGCCTATGTGAAAAATGTAATTTGGCTCACTATTAGAAGCTCATATTATGTGGGTTTGATGCACAACGGAGATTGTGTAGGAAACAAAGCAAATACTCTTTTCAAATGAACTTTCTGCTGCTTCGGTTCATGTGTGGGGTGCTAATATCACAAATATAAAGGTTAATATACTACATTGTTAAGACTATTAATGTCGTGACCTTTTGCAAGCTGTGTTCATGGGCTTTGCTGCTTTTCTTCACACCTGAGCTGAGGATGAAAATGTTACTCAGCCTTGCGTGCGACAAATGTCACACACATCCGAGTAACAAAAATAGGGATAGGGTTTAAACTTCAGCACAGTTCTCTGTGTCATCTATAAAACAATGTAAAAAATAATTCTGTAGGCATGTATGAAAACAGACATCCCTGTTGTTATTGTATTATAATGTCTTGACACTTCCTTTATTTAGGAGTGTGGATTACGGTGCCAAAAATCTCAAAACCTTTTTAAATAAAACAGATTTATTTGCATGGTTTCATCTAGTACTATTAAGGGTAAAATGGAAGTTATGTTTCTTCATGATCTGGATGAACTGACCCTTTACACTTGCTGTCCTAAAGTGCAACTAGTTTGGTCTTTTTTCAGTTAAAATCAATCCACTCTGTTACCCTAAAGATTTGCCCTCATTGGTAGCATCAGCAAATACCCAGGAGCACCTACAAATGCAGTAGCCACCCGTTCTGTCAGTGCAACTGCCACCAGACTCAGTAACATGTTGCTGCCATGTTTACAATGGCAGCACCGGAGGCGGCAGTGGTAATTGCTGCTATTTAAAAGCATCTTAAGAGGTACCTGACTGCTGCTAAACAGGGGGCAGTTAAAATGTGACAACAGACATCTGTGCTGAGTAGATCCCACTAACTACTCTCTAGGTTTTCCTGAGCTCAAGTCAAGGTGGCAGAGGACAGGATTGATGCAATCTGTCAGGCGCAGATGCCCCAAGACATCATTAGTGAGATATTGGTGACATTTACTGAGGTTAGTCGTGTCAGGGGTCAGGTTAAATGGACATTAACAAGGCTCTGAGAGCATACAGATTGGGGGCTGGAAGAGCTCTCTTTTGCTAAGATGGTTATAAAATTTACTTTGTGATCTTTAAAATAAATTTTTTAAAAAGAGATTTAGTATGGGCAGTGACAGAGGCAAGGATTGAATCATCTTTACTGATGAGGATTTAATTACAGCATGTACAATACTGGATTTTAGAGCTGAATGCAGTGATAGGGACAAAATGCCGGCTGGCCTAGAATTAATCTGGAAGATGGAAACTGCTGTTCACTGTGTGTAATTGTATATGCCGTTTGACAATGTCAGCTGAGAGAGAAAGCATCTTGGAGACCCTAACAACAGAGCCGTGGAGATAAAGAAAGTCTTCTCTGACAGAAGAGTTTCCATTTCACAGGTACATCCCAGTCAGAAGGTCAGCAGTTCAAGTTAACACAGTGCTTGAACCTTGTGCTATTGAGGGCGTCTGGTTTCCGGCTATGGAACAACAGTTTGACCCAAGGTCCCTACTGTAGGTTGCCTATCTTCCCACACAACCTGAAACACGCCAAACCTCAGGCAAAGCATGACCACCACCAAAATGCACTACAGCAGCATAAATGAGTGGGTTTTACGTGTTTATTTATGTGCATTTATATGTTCATACATGCCTGCTGCAAAACCATGGAAAAGAAGAAAGAAAAGGTCCCGCTTCACAGGCTTCAAAGAAAACAGATTTAAAAGACAATGAAAGCAGAATGGTCGGATTTGGATTAGTCGGTGCTCAGCTTTGAGCTTGTTACAGTGTAATCCAGCTGCTTTCTCTCACATTACTTCCACTGTTTCTGTGCCTCTGCTCCGTGATGCTAACATGCTGCTTATCACCATCCCCTCTGAATAATCACACTGTGGCAAGATGACACTGGCAGCTATATAAGCTTTTGCCATTATGTTTGCTTGCTGTTTTGTCATCTCCTCTCCACACCACACACACCTTCGCTGTGAGGGAAGAATCGATTTCTTTTGGGCGGCTGCTGTTGGTTTTGTATAAACCGCAGTGTAAAGCAGTTTGCTGCATACTGCTGTAGGGACTTGATCCCACATCTTAGGTTAGGTTCTACACAAGGCTGGTGGTATTCTATATTTTTTCCATTGTCAACAAACCCCATGAAAAGACCAAAATCAACATCAACAATGCATTAATTCATTGCTCAGTTATACTCTCTGACTTATCCAGCTTGCCTTTGGCACTCAGCCCCAGCTCACTGCTATACTGAAGATGTAAATCCTTCAGTATGACTCACGGAGGGGGGGGTCAGGAATAAATTGTTGTATTTGTTTGGGATCTTCTTCACCACATTCTTCCCTCTCCGATTGTTATATTTGAGTTATTATATAAGGCCTGAAGAAATAAAATCATCCAGTAATTCACAAGAAAAAAAGAATATTCTGTTAATCACCTAACAGCCCCTGAAATTTATGATGGGACCCCTTGGGAGGGTCCTGACTCCCATGTTAGGGAACCATTGATTTACAGTACCAGAGCAGTGTATCATAATGTGTGGCTTAGTGGTGGGCTTTTATTAGTCTTCACACTACAGTGGAGATCTATGACACAGGGGAATAAGCTGTACGGTAGCAGAGTAAGATCGAGTATGTAAGTGAGGAAGATGAAGTCATTGTTGCTTTAGGTCTTTTCATGGAATTTGTTGATGATTACAAAAAAAGAATATCACTAGACTTATCTTCTTTCTCCATAAACAGTGCAAATACAGATTTACAGATCAAAGCACGGGCTCTCTCTCTCTCTCTCTCTTCAGGTCTCTGCCTTGCAAACAATACTAGCATCACTTCTCCTTAGTCATCAGACAGGAAAGCCCTCAGGACAGTGTAGCGCGGTGGAACATATAATTTAATATTCAAGAGGATTACAGAGACCTCCTATTTTGTCTCATGGTTGCTTCTTTGTCTGTTTGTGTATGTCAACTCTGTCCTTGTCGCAGACCTTAAAGTAGGCCTCATTTACCAGTGTTCAAATTTGCCCTCTATCACTCAGTTGTTCATCAGCATGATATGGATTAGGCCTAAAACGTCTTTAAAAACGGATGGTCTGGCTGAAATGTTGAGCAAAACATTCCCTGTCATAATTTTAAAACTGACATGTCCGTTTTTTTCTAGATGATCTTATTTGAGTAAACTGTGAGTGAAATGTGCTAATATTGAATCATTTGACGTATATAAATGAAACACGAGATGTCCTACAGTAGATGGCTGTATCCCAGTCATCATCTGATTGTGATATTGCTCTGACAATACAGCGGGCAACAGTGCAACGAGGGCACTCACATGCAGTTCTAAATGTAATAAAATGAGATGAGAGAGAGAGAGTGAAAGTGAGAAGGATAATTAGTATAGGGTCACTTGAATAAGGTTAATGACTGCATTCTCTAAGGCAAAGTTTTCAACAAGGTTTGGCTGCTCCACTCTCTGTAGCTGTTCATTCAGACCATGTGATTTACAAGAGCATGAAATGATGAAATAAAAAAAAACTCTCATGGTAACAAGCAAAAAAAGGAAAAAAGAAATTACTTGAATAACAAGTTATACTTTGAGGGTTCTGCCTCAAGTAATTCACAAGTTTAGACACACTTCACTTGAGTGATACACCCAGTTTAAGCTTTGTCACCTTCAGCAAATGGTGCATCACTGACAATAATAAAGTATGAGTGCTTAGACTGCTTTGGAAGATGTGTCTCTACTCTACTACAGATTAGCTTTCAAATATAATTTTGAATGCATTACTCCTGAATTTATAGAGGAATTGTTGTTTTTATTAGAACAAAGTGTCGTTTTAGATTCATTTCTCTGTTGTTTCCCAATTGGTTCACGGCTCGTTGTGTAGATCGCACATGTATTGTAGTATATCAAGGGATGGCAGCATTATTGATCTGCTCATCTGTGATATAAGGTCATATACCTTTCTGTCTGCAATAAAGTTGTCCGTGTTGCCTTTGTTAATGAGTAGCAGACAGGTGTTTGTTTTGTGGAGGCGGTCCTTGTTGGGTTTACAAAGTGGCAGCCTGTGTCTGATTTTTATCTCCCAGCGTGGATATCAGATGCTCAGTTATCGATACATATAATGAAATAGTGTATATTTGGCAGTCTATGCAGCGTCCACAGCTCAGTGGTGAGGCATCTGCTGATGACAGATGTTGAATCAGAAAACATCTGTGGAAGGCACCGCTCCCTGTATTCTTATGTGTAGCAGTATAACGTGACCAAATAGAAGCTCAAGCATGAATGTTGTGTCTTTGATAATTAATCATTCTCACTACTGTCTGTCAAAATATATGAAACGGAACTAAGTAGACACATTCTTAGTGATTGGGTTGTTTTAACTAACCGGTGGACAGATTTTAAATGACTTGTTATTGTGGGGCCTTTGGCCAGAATATGTGGAGATGTTCTTTTCCAATTCCAGAAACAAAACTATAAAATGACATTTACTACGGTGTGTGATATTGTTACTGTCGCCCAACCCTACTGTACCAAGCCTGTGCATATCTCAGCAGCCTCCAGGACTTCAAAGGACTCTTCTCGGGCACACTGTACAGTAACCACTTTTCCTCTGCATCTCACGAATGAAATAAATTAGATTTGCCTCACCTCTCTGCTTCTCTTTCTAGTTATTACTTTTTGAACGCAGCTGGGGCTGTGTCTTCTACGTCTACAGTCTGTGGGACATTGCAACAATTCCTGAAATTAGAACATTAGTAATGACACAATGGCAAGTGAAGATCATGGTGTAATCTGTGAATTTTCTTTTTGTGTGTGTGTGTGTGTGTGTACTGTATGCATGTGTGTGTGTGGGCTCTCCAGGTTCTGTGGGCAGAGCAGCAAGTAGTGAGAAAAAGGAAAAAGAGGGATGTCTATGAAGACCCAACAGACCCTGATTTTCCCAAGCAGTGGTACCTGGTGGGTACACATGAAATCTTTCCTATTATTATTTCTTCATCATTACCAACAAGGAAATTCAAGTATGTGCACAGAGCAGAATACATAATGATTTTTCATCCTTTTGTATTGCATTCATAATGCTATTTTGGATTCTGTGGCTACAGAGAATGTCATTCAGATTTGTCAATAGCAGTGTGTGGTCCTGGATGTTTTTTTTATTATCTGCTATGCTGTTATTTCTAATTAATCCTCAAAGAACTCTTTATTCGGCCCTGCCTCACCAATACAGTGCTCAGCTGTTTCAGCAAAAGTTTATGAGGACACCTATCTGTAATTTAAAGATGCAATAATTATTGTTCTGGCAGAAGTTATTCATCCCCTTATGGTCAGTCAGATAAGCATAGATTGAATTGCAGTCTTTTGGACTAGCCCTGTAGGCATTAGTTAAATCACCTTCACCACAAACACAAGGTTTCCTGAGTCCAGTGATTGATGCACCAGGATTTTGACTGTAAAAATAAATGTCTAGACAGATCCTCAGCAGAACTGCATTACCTGTGAAACACTGACAGAAAAAGGTCCTGGCTCTGTCTGCTTTGTTATTCACAGCTTATCTCAGAGATGCTTCAGTTTGCCCTAATTGTCCCTTTTTTCTTCTTCTTCTTCTTTATATGCACAAAACCTCTGTCGCTGCAGCAGATTAATGGCAACATTGACTATCCCAGACATAAATCTCCAGTGAATGGAAGTCATGAAACCACCTCTGCCATTCAGCATTAGACCTCTAATCGTCTGACAACTTAAATCCTTCTCCTATTTAAACTGACTTGAATACTAAAGATGGTTGAGCTGACAGCATATGCCACCAGTGCTAACAGTTTTGTCTTAGTCAGTGGTGGATTTAGAATTCCTTTATAATAATTTATTTGTGTACATGAGCCCCATTCCTCTGTAGAAAACATTTATTTAGAATATGTAGTGAAGGGTGTTTGTGTCCATTCCATATCTGTCTGTCTGTCTGTGTTCTCTTCATACTTGTCACAGTACAAATTTTTCATTATTAATCCAAATCGTGCTGTATTGTACCTCTCCCCCACAAAGCTTGCAGCCTCTTATTCCTTTTGAGAGTAGCAAATGCTCTCGCTGAGATTTCTGACCTCAAGCAGGTTGTGTGTCTTTCACCGACAGCATAACTACACTAGGATGTTCACACTGGGCAGCTCAGCCTGAGGAGCCAGACATGTGCGGGTGATGCATTGAAATTGGTTTTTAAGTGTTCATTTGCCACCTCTGATCTTCCCTTTTATATCTTGTTGTTTATTTCTGTATCAAGCGCTCCTGTTTTCATTTTTAACCTAACACTGTGCGGTGAGTTAAAGGTGTTTGTGGATGATTTAAGATGTTCTCACACTGATAGATTGGCTGGTCTGTATGGGATGTGTCAGTCACAGCAGATTGACAGCTGAGCAGAAGGCTTGTGTCTCTTCCAGTCTACCCCAACACACCAAGACCTGAATACTAAAGTGGCCTGGGCTCAAGGATACACAGGAAAAGGTGTTGTGGTGACTATCCTAGACGATGGGATTGAAAAGGACCATCCTGACCTCATCAGCAATTATGTAAGCAAAAATACAAAGTAGTGGATGGCATTTGCAAATAGCATTTAGAGTTCTTTGAAAAATGTCTGAAAAAGAAAACAAAGGCAAATCAGAGCTTGAAGAGAAGGTTAAACTCACATGCTTGGTGTCCTATTTTTCATGTCTCTCTTAGGACCCTGAGGCCAGCTATGATGTTAATGACGGAGATGCCGACCCACAGCCGAGATACACGCAGCGGAATGAGAACAGGTAATGTGGCAGCAAAGCAACGCCGCAGATCTTTATTGCTTCAGAATGGGCTTTCAAACTTAACGGATGTTTGGCAAACAGACGCAGACATTGTGAACATTGTCATAAACTTGGGATTTATCTTTTTAACCAAACAGCTGTTGTTGTTTTGGACTCTACCCTTGCTTCCTGTAAAAATTAGCCGACAGAGAGCGACAAGTCTACACTGCTTTTGGTCCAGTGCTTTTGGCTGAAGCATTTACATTTAGAAACCAATTATAGAAAGTTTTAAAGTACTGATGTAGGCATACTAACAAAGTTTTGAAAGACTGTTCCCCTTTTTCTCTCGCTTTAGTACACAAGCCAAGCTGCTGCATTTTTGCAATTCAAGGTCTGTATACAGTCCCACAGCCACTGTGTCACTTATTTGTTGCTGATATAATACGTGTTTACTTGCCCTTTGGTGATCGCATTAAACCATGATTGTCCCAGCTTCGTCATGGACCACTAAAGCACCAGCGAAGTCAAATCCTAAACCTTCATCCCATCCCCCTCTCCATATTTCTTCTGACGCTATGGTCCTCTGCCTTAGTCCAGTCCCCCCCGGAGCAGATGAGAAGCTACATCCCGCCTCTGAAATGCACAGCAGGATTTGTCTCAAATCTCCCGCTTTTCTGGGATGGCTGCCACTAAGTCTTTTTGTAGCTGTTTGTTGTTTGTTTTTCTGCTTTATGTTGGTTTCAAAGCACAGCACCCATTTGCAGTTGGTCAGAGGCTGAAGCTAAATAAGCTTAAGATTTCATAAAACTTTTAGATGAAAATAGAATAATATGTGGGCAGTTGTTCTTATTTGAACCTTTTGCAATGTTTATTTCTCTGAGCCGCTTCTGTTGTATGCAGAGCATTCTTTGTTTTTCTGTCCTCATCTGAAACAGGATCATTTCAGCTATAGCATTTATTTATCCTGAAGTAGGTTAGCGTCAGCAGGTTTTGTTAACAGAAGCCTCGTTTCCCGTCCTTGCCGACAGCTCATGTAGCCATGCACAGCGACCCCAGCGCCTCTCTGTAAGTGTGAAGTGGATCCCACTATGTCGTGCTGATGGAACAAAGCACTACTGGAGAGGATTACTCCCTGCCTCTGGCTCACTTCAGTTCCCCAAACTGCACCATGCTATTACTTCAGAAAGACACACACATAATAAAAAGAGTGCACAGGTCTGCACTCACACACTCTCTACTACCCACGTCAGTGGAATTGCCAAAGTAATTATCTTGTACTGGATCAATTTATGGGCATGGAATGAAAAGCAAGGGTGTGTCTCTACAGCGCAGCGTTGCAGTGTTTCGAACGACCTGTGAACAAATTACATTCAATAAGTTATGGAAATCACCACGAAGTAATACAGGCTGACAGTGAGTAATGCTCACAACCCCGTCACTATGAAATTATATGAATTTATTCATAGGACAACAATACGCAAAGGAGAGTCAGGGGCGGACATTTTTCCGGAGCCATGAAGGCCAGTTCATTTGTGCTAATGACACGCAAGGCTGATTTCTGAATTCTCATCTCAGGGTTTTTCCACAGAGATGCTCCGTACTCTTGAGTTGGCAGCTCTGGCAGATAGTGTCAGAGCAGTGCAGGCTAAGTTGAAGGCTAGTTAGAGTGAGACCAAGTAGGTAATCCATTTGTGCTCCATAATGACAGCGTTTATGTCTTTTGTTTTTTCCTCTCTACTTTCGTCTGCTTCTCCTCTTCTACATCTGAGTGATATAGATGTATAGGGTTGGGTCTAGAGTGGAAGACTGATTTCATCTGCTGTTCACAGCTTGTCAATAGGGCAGAACACACATTTCTGAAAGCCTCAATGAGTGACAAGATGGCTGGGCAGTATGGTCAATACTGTAATAACTGTAAAACTAATCACTTTTGTTCCTTTTTAAATACAGAATCCTCTTTATTGTCATTGTAACGCGTATAATTAAATTTTGTTTGGAGCCAAGGGCCCGGGGCGCTGCGTGTGTACGCACTGGGCAACTTGGGGGTTCAGTGTCTTGCCCAAGGACACTTTGACATGTGGACTGCAGGCATTGAGATTCGAACCTCCTGCTCTACCCACTGCACCACTGTCACCCCAAGACAATTTTGTACCCTTGGAACAGTAGTATTGTAGTATAATCCTAAAGGTAGTAGTGACGGACAGGCTATAGTTTGCATTTTATGACATACAATACAGCGTCTTGTCACTGATCTCAAGATTGTAATATATATAATATTAGACTTGTAATATACACTCTGTGGCCCCTTTATAAGATACACCTGTTCAATCAAATGCTGCCCAATACAGTGTCTTTACAAAAATGTCTAAATACAATACTGTTTACTGTTGAGCTCAAATTTTAATTTTGTCCGTCCCATTTACATATATGAGGGGAACAACATATTAGAAGCACCTATCGCTATACTATATTCCAGTAAACCTCTGTCTCAAACTGTAGCATCAGTGCTGAAACTTATAACTGAATTAACACCTTTATGGCCGTGTCAAAAAAGTTATATAGGCCTCATAAAAGAAGACACAGTAGAATAAAGTGGCAATTGAGTATATAATACATATATAACACTGAGACATTTTTAACTTGGGGAGCTATATAAATCAACTAAAAACTTAAGTGTGTTGCGTCAGCATATTTATAACAGTCCAAATTCACTTTTTGTGTTACTCAGTTGTTCCTTTCCTGAGGCCTGTGGAGTCCTGACTGGGAGAAGCTAAGGGATAAATGTTCCTGTATTCACATCAGGTTACATGAAAGCTACATAGTGCTGTGCAAATGTTCAGTTGACTTATACATATACAAACATATAGCTTAACGGTTCTATTCACCTTCATACAGCCTTCTCCTTTTCAAATATAGTCTGCCACCCACACCCTGTCTCTGTCCCTCTAACTTTCCTGTAGAGAGCTATTAGCTCCTATACAGGACTTTTCACAGGGGTTCATTAATTGAGATCCACAAGCCTGCATGGAAGATTGTGTAGTGACAGCGTGTATTAGAAAATGATTTGCATGCTACATAGCCTTGTGTGTCCTTCAGTCCAAACTAATCACGTCAGCACCTGAATACTAAAATGATTTGAACGCAAGGTTAGAAGGTTGAAGGAAGGTATGATGGTTAATGTGGACAGTGGCGCTGAAAAAGACCAAGAAAAGTGTTTGTACGCTTCTCTTGTTGCGAAAATTGCTTTGTCCTTGCTGGCAGATGGCTATTTGTTTCTCTGACCATGAAAGTGCTTCTTCAGCAGAAAGACACTGGCAAGGAAAAATGGCAAATGCACCAGCCCTAGTCACTGCAGAAGATGCACATCTTAAATTCCTAATTTCCTATGACATTAGTCACTGTCGGACAGGCATCCCCTGCATTAGATGGCCGAGGTGAACGCCTGCAATTATTACAAGGTAAAGAAGTAGATGAATTTTAATAGGGTGCTTTTTTTATTTAATCCAGTGAATCCAGTAAAATGATTTTAAAGGGTTTTACTGTTATAAAAAAGTTAGCAGTGATGAGCAGCACTAATATGAGTGACTATGAATTTACAAATATATATATAGACAAGCACATTCTGAAATGTGAAACTTCTGTGGAGCATTTTCTATGAACAAAACAGACATCAGCAGTAATAAATTCTAAAAACTGTACTGTACAGCTCCTTTT